TCCTCCGTTCCTCATAATCCGTTTTAACCTTACTAATATCCATCAGCTCTTTTTTTTCATCGCCATTTCTGCCTTTCCTTCGCACGAAGTCTCCTCTTCTCATGTATCTCTCTTGATAACGAATGGAGGACATCTCACCGCTAATTATGATTAATTTGTGAGACGAGCGAAAAAGAGTATGGCTTTCAAAGCTAGGAGCTACCAAGATATACAGAGGATCACCCATGGGGGAAACATAATTAATATTCTCAGCAGGACTGCGTTGTAATGTCACGTGAACATCATCCAGGTGACTCCTCCATCGTTCTTCTCAATCCTAGTTTACAGTCTTTTTTTTTAGAGAATTTTCTCTTATGAATACTTATTCTCTTATAAAAAGGTGAAGGACGATGGTTGTTAATTGTTATTTAAGCCGCGATAACATATCGTCATTAACGACATATATAAGGCAACTTTATAAATCCAAATCAATTTTGATATCTAAATTGTTTCATAAGATTCGATCACGATTCACTTCAATAATAAATAATAATTTTTCAAATAAAATTTTGGATTTAATGAAACTATATTTATAAAAATTATTTATATAAGAAATTAACTATTTTTTACTTCGTATTAGTACTTTTTATTTAATGTCCAATAACGAAATAACAAATTTGTAATTGTGAAATATCATTTAATCTATGTTTTGAGATCATTATAAAATTATATTAAATTATAAAAATTAATTTAAGTTATTTTTTTAAGGCATAAAGTTTTCACTTTTTACGTCATAGGATTTGAATATTTATTATTTAGTAATGAAATATAATATGAAATAATAAATCATAAATCATAAAATCATTTAAATATTCAGTTTATACGAAGTATAGAAGATAAAATTATTTTTATAAAAGTTGTTCTATGTTATGTTTTTAAGAAGTAAAGCAAGGATATTTAAAAATGATTCTTTTAAGAAGAGATATCAGTAAGTGTTGTATCGATGAAGACATTTCGAAACTGAAAGTCTTCATTTTTTAAAATATCAATTATATTTAGAATGTTTTCAATCGCATGAAATTTTGAATTTTAGAAAATAAAATAAAGTTACAAAAATTGAAATTGAAAGTAAATAAAGAATCCACAATTTGGTGTATTCAATAATTCTTTTTCAGCGTTTTTACGACAATTTTAACGAGTAATATACTGACCAGATGATTATAATAGCTAGTATATTTATTCAAAAATTATTTGATAATAAATTTGCGAATATTTATAAAAATTCATATTTTAACAGAATTAAAATAATATTCCATATATCTTGTACATGTATATATATATATATATATATATTTAAATTTTTAATATATTATTATTTAATAATATATTTATAATATATTAATATTTAATATATTTTGAAATAATAATGAGAAACTTTTTATCGATGTTCCATATTTTTTAAAAAAATTATTTTAATAAAGAAAAAAATAGAATATTTCAATGGAAACAAATATTATTTTAGTCTGTATTCATTGGAAAGATTAAATGCAACTTTAAAATTAAAATAACAATTGAAATTAAAATAAAATTCAAATCTTTCTTTTATTATTCATTATTGTAAACAAATTTTTCGTGAACAATTTGGTATTTGTTGAATTTTAATATTAATTATATTATTCAATATAACTATTTATATTGAAATTTCAACAATAATAATTTTGCTTAATTTAATTGAAAAATGTTATATAGTGTTTTTTTGAAAACGAGTAAAATACGGATTATCGATGATTGATCGCGACAAAATAAACTCGTGTCTAATATTATCGCATTAAGCTACTGTGTATTATGTATTGTGCATCGATCCGATTCCTTCTGAGAAAAAATATTGTCTTGAGAAGAAGAGAATGAAAGTAGATATGTCAGACGTAAATTCTTTTATAATTTAATATTGTTAATTTTCGATAATTTTGATTCGTAAAATTATTAATTTTTCATTGCAAAATAAATTTTTATTTAAAGAGAATTTTTATCCTCTATTTAGTTTTTTTATTAAACGCATATTTTTTATTAAATGCATATAAATTTAATTAATAATTATCAAATGATTAAATTTTGTAATTTTATGAATTCAATGAAAAAAATTGTTAAACTTAAATTAAATTAAATTAAACTTAAATTGAACTTTCATTTTTTCAAACAATGAATAAATACTTTTTATAGATTTTTCTTTTGTTACAAATAATAAATAATAAATAATATATTAAATAACAAATAATAAACAAAAATAAATAATAATAAATAACATAATTATCAATCATAATACAAATTAAAATTCAAAAATTTAAATATTGTTATGTTACTATAGTTTATACCAGATTTGTAATAATTGAACGTGAAAAATTTTGAAGGAAATAATACAATTCCATTTTCAAAATAACTTCAAATGCGAGATTATGAAAGTTAAGAGGTTGAACATAAGGAAAATTATCTGATATCGTCGAATTACTATTTTTCGTATATAAACGAAGGTTATCTTAATATTATACGGCACAGGGCCAACCGATAAGGCAATGCAATTTGGAACGTGGAATATTATATTTGGTTAGTTATTTCCCTTGTTTCACCTGACAAATAATGTTCTTCCTAAATTCAAACTTGACATTACGAATTTTTTTTCGAAAACTATTTAACATTCCTTAATTGGAAACTATTAAATCACTTGATATTTTAATAATTTTAATATGTTATTAACATTAATATATAATTTTGAAAATTTTTCACAGAAATCAATTTACATTTCTTGTATTATAAAAGTCAAATTTTTATAAATAATATCATAAATAATAATACAACTGAAAATCTCCATAATCCTATCTATTTAATAATATCAAACGAAACTAAATGATATTTTTATTTCCGTCTCTCTTTCGTCTCCGTCATTCTTCCGTCATAACGCGAACTTAAATTTTTCACAACTTAATAAATAAATCTCAACCGACATCTTCGAAGACGTGCCGCAAATATATAAATAATCACGAGAAAAAACTTCACGACTTTTGAAGATCACAATTCGCAAATTGGGAAACACTGCAACAACATGATACATAGTTCTTCCATTTACGATCAATATAATAATATTTTCAATAATATTTTCCCCGCAAAAAGAAATTTATATTTTGCCCGAAGAATTTATCCGTGTTCCGTGTTCCGAGTCATTTGCAATGCGTTAATTGCTCAATCCAGCATGCGCGAGGCCAGAGCAGAAGATCGAAAAAAAATGAAAGGAGATAGAGATAGATAGATAAATAGATAGATAAAGACAGAGAGAGAGAGAGAGAGAGAGAGAGAGAGAGAGAGAGAGAGAGAGATCTGTGCATCATTCTAATTCATGAAGCGAGAGGCCCGCCTAGTAGCCACGCGGATAACCGTGCTGGATTTTAATAAACGGTTCCCCGGTCAATCCCATATACACGGACGGTGTAACGGACGCAGAGGTGTTTCGCCTGGTAGCTGGCAGGACGACGCACAACTCGGGAGAGAGGTTAATCACCCGCGTTGGATTTTAATAAACGGTTCGGGGGGCAAACAAAGCTGGTCATCAATAACCATTCCCCTCTCCCTCTAACAGGGAGTACCCCTTTGGAAGTTGGCTGTCTCTGTCGGTTTTCGATCTTCTTCCCGCCGCTCTGTCTTCGTCTGTCTTCGCCCGAGAAGGGACCCACCTCACGAGCCGACCCGGCACAACCTGGAGAGGTGGCTTTGCCACCAGGTTGTCGAGCCTCATCGGACAGCTAGATAGGCGGAGATCGTATCTGCGTGGTTATTAATTAACCGGCGAGAAGGGAAAGCCTCCTTTCATCACCTCGCAAACGATCTGCCTTAGCAAGGCCGAGACCTTGCCTCTACGATGTAGAGAGATTCGTAGAGATCGGGATCTGTGGATATTTGGATGGATCCTTTTCAATTCCTTCCGGTTGTGCGAGGAGAAATTCGTTTGAGTTAGATAAGTTTTAATCTTTAAGAGATGTCAGATAGCTATCTGTGCTGATGCTAGATTTTAGTTTATACAAGTTTGGTTGATATTTTTTTATTGTGTAATTTTTGCAATTGTTAGAGAGATAATTTAAAGAGAGAGATCGGGATATTTTTTTTTGTCGTGGCTCTCGTATTAGGGCTTAATAAAGTAATTTTTTGATGCAGAGAAACGTATTAATTTTTATATATCTATGTTTAAATTAATCCACAGATAATCTAGATATACTATATCAGTGGTTTGTGAATCATGTGCGAGTCTTAGATATTAAATTATTGAAAAAAAATTTATTGAAAAAATGGAATATAATATAAATATCATTCGATATCTCTATTTTATTTTATTTCGAATTTCTAAATTATTTATTTCGAAATTCCTTTTATTTTCTGTTGTTTTAAATCAATGTTTGATCCAAAAGTTTGGGACATTTAGTATATTTAATGGATATCTTTTTATTTAATGTAGTAATATGTTAGAACATGGATTAAATTAATTTGATTTGCAAATGAATATTTTATAGATAGCATAATATTCATTTGGTTATATAGATTTTTAATTTTTGAGGATTATTTTTTAGAATTAAAGAACAATTGAAAACAATTGAGGAAATAATAACTAATAATAATAAAACTGAATATTTTGAAATAGATAATTTCTTTTTCTAAGAATAGTGGCAATAATGTATTTGATAATAACAGTGCTATTAATGTTTATTTATGTCAGAATTGAAATGTGCATATAAATTAATACAAATTGATTATGCTAACTATAATTATATCCTTTTTTATATTTTCTCAATTTCTCCATTAATATTCCAAATTCAAAATTAATATTATACCAACTTAAATAAAATATTTTTTTATTTTTAAATTAAATAAATAATAAAAGAATTAAATAATTCAAAAGAATTAATAAAAGAATAATAATATGTAATAAAAATTGAATATTAATATTTATCATGCATCAAAATATGTTTTATATTATTTACCCATTTATAGAAGTGCGGCTGATGAACCACGATAAAGCAGATCTTGCTAAAGAATGCCAGGCTTGCAATGGTAAGGAATCCGACCTTTCAATGGATTTCATTAGGAAGATTTCGGCAGTTTTATCAGGTTGATCATGATGGAATCCTGCACCAAGAGGAATCCATAAACGGAGCAAATCTTCCCGGATCTTGGTTCTGTCTACTTTGTACCACTGTAACAAAAAGAAGAATTAAATGAAATATTTTTATAATAATAATTTATTAACTATTAAAAGCTCTGTATTAATTTTAATAATGTATCGATCAAAGGAATTTTTTAATAGTCAATTTTACGATTCCTTTTCGTTTATCGTATACGTAATTTTTAAAAAAATTAAATATTCTAAGTCGATTTCCATATTTTTGAAGATTTATTATATTATTTATCGATTTATTGATACTTTTATTGATTCCAACTGATGAAAATAATTTATCGTTTTATATTACAGTTTTATATAACAGAAGTTAGAAAATTATAAACTTTAAAAAAGTTAAGATGATTTCTTATCGAAAAAATTATTTTTTGAAAAATTTTAATCGCCATTTCTAATCAATTATTATAAATTTTGAATTGTTTTATATAATGAAAATTAGATTAGACAGATTATTACCTACTTTTGTCCCTCTTTCGTTTATTATTTTATTTATTAATACAATAACACTAAATTAATTATTCTTATTATTAACAACAAAAAAATAAACCATTTTTTTTTATTATTTCAGCAAATTAAAATTAATTATCCCATAAAAATTCTTTTTAAACCGAACCAACAATTGTACAAATGATCTTTTATAAATCGTTGTTGTTGCTGCTGCAAATAATAATAAAATCTGCCTTTCCTCCTCCTTTCCCTCCTCCTCTTGCAAAATTCTCGATATATCGCCATACAACCGAACAAAATATCATCATGCTTATTTATAAGTCTTATCTCAACCTGCAAAACATCGTACAAGCGCATAAACATTCTCTCTACATTGTCGTCACGTGATCGTCGCTCCGGGATATTATAATCCCGAATCACGTTTGCTCGCACCGTGTCCACACCGAGGCAAAATACATAATTCGAATCGGCCGAGATTCGGTTGCATATCGGGCGAAAATATTTTCAATTTCGCAGGCAATCACGATACGCATCACGTTCCGCGACCGCGGCCTCCGCAAAATTTCGCGGTGGGTTAATGCGTCGGAATAAGAGCCGCGGCCCCCTTCCGATTCATTAACATCCCGCAAGGTGTCCGGCAAAAAGTGTTTCTCGCTTCATTATCGGAGCCGCGTATCGCGACATTAACGATATTCCGGCGAACGGTTTCGGTGCGGAACCGCAAAACAGTCGGAGAAGCAATTACCGTTGACCGGTCCTCCACCACCGACTACCACTAACCACCACCACCGCCACCACCACTATCACCATCAGCAACGCTGGCAGCGGCGCGGTTCAACGTGGTACTACACGACAGATATCCGATTTCACCGTCAGCTTCCGAGAATGAGAACCAATTACGCGGGCCGGGGCATTAAGGAATCGATCTAATTTGCGCGCGGTGGCGGCTCTTAATGGCGGGCGCCGACCGATGAAATTATACGAAAATGTAATCAACGCGGTTTTTGTCTCGTTTCGCTCCAAGGGCAGGGGCGTAATTAGGAATGCTTTTGCGCCTCGCGACGGGGGACACTTGTTGCTTTCTCTCCCTCACCTTGTCTCCCCCCTTCCTATTTCTCTCTTACCTTTTTCTGTCTATCTCTCCCTTCCTCCCTTCCTCTCTCTCTTTCTTTATCTCTCTCTTTCCTTTCTTTTTTCCTCGCACGGCAATTCGTTCGTCTTTCCCCTTCTCTCTTTCTTTTTTCTCTCCGTTTTTTTTTATTTTTATTTATTTTTTTTTTTTACTTCGCTCTTGGTCTCCCACCCTATTATTCCCCGTGCTTCTCTCAGGCTTGCAAGTTAAGAGACCTTGAAAAAACGGAGAAGAACGGCGAAGGAAGATGGAGAACGGTGGGATGGAAGGACCAGGCCACAGAAGGAGAGTAATTAACGCCGTGGTGCGCCCAGGTGCGCGGCCCTAAGAAGTCGTTTATGGATTGCTCGGCAGCCACGCCGTACGCGGCCATCAATTAGATTCTCTAATTAAAACAGTCCCTTCTCGGCTCCGGGGAATTAACTCCCGGCAAACCTCTGTAATATTCTGTCATCGTCGGGGTCTCAGGCATCTTTGATTTCCTATTCTTCTTATTTCGTTCTCCTTTGAACTTTCGGTTTTGCCATTTGTATCGTTTTGGCAGCGATACAATGTGTCTATATAAGAGAATATAAGTATTTTGAAAGTATTTCATCAAGTTTTATTTGATTTTATGATAATTTCACGAATCTCGAAATTTTGTAAAATTTTTAAATTTTTGAATATTCCATCCCTGATTGTATATTTAATTTAACGTTCGATTATTTATTTAATTTTTGTTATAGGAAACGTTAGAAGAGAATAAATTATTTTTTGTTTTGTATGGAATTTTTTCGTATTAAACTCTTAAATTTTTCTCTTCAAAAACAAAATACTAAAAATATGTAATTTTTATTTACTTATTTTTTACCAAAAAAAATTAATTATTAAGATTCATAAGTTAAAATTGAATCTTCTTTTCATTCTTAGAATAGATTATCCATTTTTTTCAGATTAATTTTTAGCTACAATTATTTACTTTCTATATCTAATATTATAAATGTAAAAAATTACATTAATAAAAAAGTTTCAATTAAAATTTAAAACTATTCAAAATTATATTTAAATTTTATATTTTTAATTATTTTATAAAAATATTTCAAATATAACAAACTAAATTATTCCATTTGAATTACTCATCACAAACCAACATCTTAACTAAATTAATCAGGAATACAGAAAAAAAGAAAATATTCAAAAAATATCTCTATACCCGTCGAAGCAATGAATCATGTGACTCGATCATTACTTTGATGAATTTTCGAGAACATTCCCCTGATAATTGAATTGGAATAGTAATAAACACGAAGCGGTGGAAAAAGAATCTGAAAATCAGCAATATACCAACCGAAGGGGGAGAAAAGGAAACGAACCAGGAGCGATATACGTTTTTAATTATAGTATGTAATAATCGCTAATTGCAGGTAGCCAGCCTTCCAATACGCTTTAATTCGACTTTTTCGCGATTTTTTTCTCGACGAATTACAAATGGCTACCGACGTGGTCGCGCACAGCCGGACAGCATTCCTCTTTGTGCCATTAGTGGCGACTTTCAGCAGCGATGGAGGACAGAGATGGGACGAATCGGTCGAAAGAGAAGGAGAAAAAGGGAATCAGATTCGCGCACCTTCCGTGTAGACTAGTGCACGCACCAATCGCCATCCATGACTCGGACAACAAGTAGCCAACTCGGAAATCACGCTCATCTAAATCAACGTCTCGCGTTGCACCGACAAACGATACGACGAATGGAGGCTCGATCTTTCTACAATGATGCACGCATTTGCAAATAGAATGAAATAAAAGTGAATTATAGCAGTAATTAAGTGTCGAGAGTAACACTTTGGAACGATAACGATGATTGAAAAACTATTATATCTGAAAAGTTTTTACATGATCATAATCTTATATTATTTCTTACATGATATTGTCGAGTCAAAATATTCTATTTTTTATTTTAAGGCGAGTAATAATAAAGTTATTGCATATAAAAGAACGAAAATATTTATAATTGCACGTTTATTTTTATGATTGCAAGTTAATATAATTAAAAATTTTAAAAAATCAATGTAAACGATCTATATCAGTTATTTTTTAATTATATTTGTTCTATATATATATATATATATATATATATTCATTAAATTTTCCGATAAAAACAAATTATTTTTATTAAATAGTTTATTTATCTAGTTGTATAATGAAATTATAAAATGAAAAATTCTATATTTTTTTCTATTTTTTTTTAAAATTTATTCATAATTAAATTAAAATTTTAAATTATATGAAGAATCTTAAACGAGTATTTTAATGTAAAATATGTTATCGCAGAAGCAGAAAAATAAACATAAAAAACAATGCGATAAACGTGCTTGATAATCAAAATTTATGTTAAAAAAAAATATAGTTTTATGTCACAATTCGAGTTCATGAAGACTCTCTAGCTCATCGTGCGAGACTTGTGTTCAACACACTTGTCCGAAATGGTTATGTGTCTCTTTATGACAGTATACTATAGCGCATAGGAAAACTTGTGAAACGTAAACTTAGCGCTACTTCTCGTCAATGGGAGTATTTCAAGGTTATGACATTTTTTATTGTCTTGCTTACAGTTGTTGAATATGTAGATACTTGTTTAAATATTTTTTTGATATTAAATATAATTGTTCAATTTTTTATTTGATATTTATAATATATATTTATAATATATATTTAATCTAAGATTATATATATATAATATAGTAATTTTAATGCTAATATATAAAATCTTGGTTTTAAGAATTTTTGAAAATGAGATTTTTCTTAATTGATTTTCTCAATTGAAAAAAAATTAAAAAGAAATAAAAATATACGCTTTTTTGTTTATAAATAATACAATAATACATTTGAATGTTACGAATAATAATATATCATAATTAATAATAAATATATTCTCTTTTAAAATTTAATTCTATTTATTTTCATAATCTTTTATAATTTGTTTGTTATATGCAATTTTGATTATATAATGTGATAAATTTTAGTATTAAACTTTATATTTAATTTAAAAAAATGTAATAGTTTATCATATATATATATATATACCATCTTCAATATCTTTAATTTTGAACTCAAAATAAATACAATAAAAAATATGATATTATAATTAATATTTTTAATAAAAAAATTTTTATTAAAAAAATTTTTAATAATATAAATAAAATATAAATAAAATTTTTAATAATATAATAAAAATTAAATATTTTTAATAAAAAAATTTTATTAAAAAAATTTTTAATAAAATTTTGCAATTTATATAATTATTTATTTAATTTATCTAGATTATAAAATTTAGAATTGTGGAAGAAAATATTAGTAATGAAAATATATTAAATTTTTAGAAATTTTTATTTTTTTTAATATTCATAATGTTAAAAAAATTAAATTTAATTATAGTACTTGCCATATATAGAATATTCTG